TGAATATTGTTTCAGCCAAAAACAAAGACTTCAGTCTCTGCAGTGGCTTCTGGACAAGATCTCGGAGGCCGATCTAGATTTGCCAAACTTGGAATGGCATCAAACGATGTGTTAAATCAGGCATATAGATATATACTAGAGATGGAGGTCCCCCCGTCCGTTATTTACAACAAAGTGAAAGCATTATCAATTTATAAAAGATTACGCCCCGAGCAAGAACATCTTTTACAAAATGCTCAACTATTAGGGTATAAGAATTTTGATATCTCATTAACATACACATTGGTAAGACACATTTGTAAAAAGATTCCTAAACAGACAAAAGGAAAATGGGGAGAAGAGCCTGTGTAAAGTCGAATAATGACCCCCATCAAATAATGACCGGGGGGTCATTTTTCAACGACAAAAAATGACCCCCACCCGTAGAAAAAAATCATTTTTGTAGAAAAAGGGTCCTAGGGGGTCATTATTTTATATGTTAGTCCTATAAAATAATGACCCCCATTGAAAAATGACCCCCTTTAAAGTGATACAAAATATACACTCTTTGATATCTTTTTCACAGCGAAACTAATTTTTACATTTTCTGTAACCAGAAAAATACGTCGTATGAAATAATTAGGAGATTCACGTAGTCTTTTAATGCTAAAATTGTGTTTGAAAAGAGATTCTTTAATTGTCAAGTAAATGAAATTTCTTTTTAATATTCCTCCTTATAATGTTTGCTTAAAAGCCCTTTCACAATTGGCTCACGAGCACTTTACAACACTTTGCAATCGGAAAATTTTAGCTTCGCACGAGCTCTCGCATAAGTTGCACGATGACTCGCATTCGTTTTAGTGGTCGCATCAAGTCTCCTCAAAATAGTCGACATGCACACTATTCAGACGCGACCAAACGCGATCCACATTTATCGCACTTCAACGCACGAATATTAGTACGAGCGTCTTACAACGTTTTGTGTAATCGCAAGAGTGATGCACGATATTTAAAGGTCGTAAGATGAATCGCAGCTGCATATGCGTGTGTTGTGCGACCATGAGACTGTTGCTCAACGTGTTTCATGTAATCTTGCAACGTTTTACTATGCAAATTTTATCAGCTTCGATTTCCCACGCTTTGCCACTAGAATATGTAAACCCTGTATAAGCATCTTTGTTTCAGACCACAATTGACTATGATTGCTCTTCAAGTGAATTATAAACGGGGCTCGGCTGCTGCAGCAGATCCTGGACTCCTGGGCCTCCCCCTCCTCCTGCGCCTTCTTTCTACGGTTTACCTTCACTTTACCTGTAGATTTTGTCATCTTTTTGATTGGCATCTCTTGCATTCGACTGACGAGGGTTGAGAACGTGTAGTATATATATATATATATATATATATATATATATATATATATATATATATATATATATTCGCCTTCTCACTCGCACGATCATTCGCACCATGAAACGCATGATTGCACGAGCGCCTTACGTCCAATCGCATTGGTGCACGTTCAATCGTTCAATCACCTGATCACTCGCGCGATCCTTTCGCATTAACTTACAACACTCGCTTTCATTGTACAACAGTCGCATATAGACGCAAGATATATCGTAAGATTTAATACACAACGGTCGCTTTAGATCGTGCGAATTTCGTACGAATACTTTTTCATGTGGGATTATTTCAGCATCAGTTTACGATCCAACTTAAAGTTTTTCGGTTGCACGAATATTTTGTCGCCTTTGCTCGTGCGCCAATTGTGAAAGGCCCCTAAAGAATGATATTCCACTTGTTTTAAGAAATCAAACCATGCAAAAATCAGGTTGAAATACTCTTTAATAGGAAAAATTAAATTTTCCGTCATTTCAACTTTTAGTTTGTTTAAGTTTGGCAAATCCTATTTGACAATGAAAGAGGAAGAAATTTTTATCCCCCCCCCCAAAAAAAAGAACATTACGTTAAATCAAAACAAAAAAAAAATAATAAATGAAAAGCAGAAAATTAATATAAATAAAACTCTATACCTTTTAATAATTCTGAAAGAGGCTCTAGATAAAATATTGAAATGAAGTTAAGCCTTCACACAAGCATATCATATCATAATTTACTTCGCCATGATTAAAGCATAATACTTTAAATGTTGGTGGAGGTATACTTGAAAGTATTGTGGCAAGGTAGCAGTTAAAAATTAGTAGAAAAGTAGATAATTTTTGGCATATTTTTAGTGCCCCTGGTCCTCTGTGTCAACAAACTGTGGGCCTGTATAATTAAGAGGCATTTACATTAAAAGTTTAAAACTAAAGTTTAATTCCTTTTTTATAGAAAAATAAAGATAGTGTTTTTTTTTTTTTTTTTTTTTTTTTTGCTTTTGTTTAATATAGACTTCCTTCTAAATAAGAAAGGGGTGGGGTAAGTATAAGACCTAAAAATATGCTCTGTAAACTATGGGCTAGTGTAAAATACATAGTCATTTTAATGCAAAACCTATACATGTAGACATAAACTTTTGATTTAGCACACAGTATTCATTACATTTCTTTTAACGTAGAACCTACTTCGTATGACATCATAACTTGTAAATGTGTTAAACCTGTGCTAACCCATTAAGACGTATTAATTAATTCAATGCCACTTTTTCCCGTACTTGACAGCTTCAATAAAAATAGTAGAAAATACTGCATTTTGAAATTCACAGAATTCAATCATGCCAACATAATTTTGATTCAATTCATCTTTTTTTTGTTTATAATGCTTAATGGCAATATATTTCTGGAATAAGAGAAAATATGTAGGCACCTTTTATTTGCTAGATCTAGACCTGAAGTTGACAAACCCTAGACTATCTAGTGTAATGAAATTACAATGTACATACAACTTTCGTAATAATTTGAATGGTATGTAACCATTTTGAAGGAATGCATAAATCGTAAGAAATCTTTAGTTGCCAGCTATATAGTATAATATCTTGATGAAATGTGTCTAGGTCAAAAATGTACGTGTTGTAGATCGTTTGTACATTTTTGTGATATCTATAATGAAATGATGTGCATTCCTTTTAACAATTATTTGTTACCTATTCATATTTTTTGGTGTTTTATTACAATTTTTTTCTATTAAATATGATCTTTTTAAAGAAAAAGTACAATTTCTGATAAATATTTAATCTGAAAGTAATCCCAAACAGTCATTTAATTATTAAATCCCGTGTAAGTGCAAAAAGGTCAAGGATATGAGTATCGGTAAAAAGCCTATCTTTCATTAGTTAGAGGGGAAAGGTATATATTTCAATCATTTTTTGTAATCATTTGGCTATGTTCTTCATCATATTGAAGATTGAAAACATTGTGACAAAGACGTCTAAAGAAATATTTACAAATATAGGGTGAATAATTGACTAAAAACAATAAAGTTCATTTGACTATTTTTTTTAATGGTGGACTTATCTTTTATAATAATTGAATAAAAAAGAAATTATTCTTGATAAAATATTGTTTAATATTTTTCAGTTAAAAAAGTTTATAAACGACGATGTTTGAAGAAGTATTTTTGTGATTTTTCATATTCCCTTTATGACAAGTTCCCCTAAAATATTTGAAAATGTGAAGTCGCAATATGTAAATACCTTACCAAGTTTCACAGCCTGTTCTAGATTAAAAAACAAGGAAACATATCATGATATCTTAACTGTTTGATAAGCATGTACTAATTTATCATTTTGAAAAGTTTGAAAATCTTGTGACAAAGACTTTTCCGACATAGGTTCTACCTTAATTCTTGTTTTACCCCACCCTTTTACTCAGTTCTGAGTATATTTTTCAGAGAATTTAATATGAAAATCAGAACAAACATTTTCATTTTTGTAACGTCATCTTTACATGTATAACGTATATCAATATGAAAAGTTAATTGAAGACCATTTCTTTTTATGTCTCGTAGTCGAAGATTCGGGGGTATATAGTTTTATCGTGTTCGTCTGTATGTCCGTCTGTCTATCTGGCGGTTTGTTTGTCCGCAAAAACCTTAACCTTTTCCATAATTTTTCATTTATTGGAGCTATGACTTTCATATTTAATATGTATATTCCTTGTGACAAGACCTTACTTTGGGTACCATCTTGACCTTTTGACCTTTACCTTGGAGTTTATCCCATTTTACACAAAAATGCCGAATTTTTACTTTGGCCATAACTTTTAAACGGTAGATACTTCAAATATGTAGTTTTTTGGCATTACCTTTCATTGGATACTAAAAAACCTTGACCTTTTGACCTTGACCTTTGAGTTTTCCGTACTTATGTTTTTTTTTACCTTGGCCATAACTTTTGAACGGTAATGGCTAGGGTATTCATACTTCACATATGTAATCCTTGTTACATTAAACATTTTCTTAAGAAATCATCAACTTTGACCTTTGAGTTTGACCTACCTTTCAAAAACTTATCCTTAGCCATTACTTTTGAACAAGTGGTGCTAGGGCTTTCCTATTTTGCAGTTGTATTTCATGTGAGAAGACCCTACTTTGGGTAACAATATTATTTAAATTGCATTTAAGAAAAGTTTAATCTTCGCTATGTTGCCATACAGGGGCATAGCTGTTTCACAAATACATCTTTTTATGTATGAGGATTTGCGGATAAGAGATGGATACCTCAAAGCGTAACAGACGGACGGACGAACATCTCAATCACTATATACCCTCTCGCTTTTCAAGCGGAGGATATAATAATATATAATACTGCTGATTTTTTCTGTCAGTTCGATGATTTCCACCATCAAAATTGTTTGCCTAACCCTTAAGGCTTGATAAATCTTTTACTCCTTTAGATTCTAAATCATTGCATTTACCTTAAAATATAGCTATAATTGTATAATGTTATGAGATCAACATATCATCAGTTTATTCCCAATAAGATCAGGTGAGCATTTTGGCCAATATGCTTCTTTATCCAATTTTTTTTTTGCCCCCTAAAAATTTTAGCTTTAATCTGCAGGGGGTCATTTTTCTACGGGGGTCATTTTTCTTCACGTGGGTTCTGCAAATTTTTAGGGAAGTGACACTTTTTCTACGGGTAAAAGGGTCATTTTTCTACGTCGAATAATGACCGGGGGTCATTTTTCGCTGTCGAAAAATGACCCCCCGGTCATTATTCGATGGGGGTCATTATTCGTCTTTAAAGCCTGCAGCAGGAGAAGTGACCGTGAGTGATGATATCGAGAGAATAAGGTTAATGAATTTGGGACGTGAACATTGGTCCTTTGGTTGAGACCATCTAAACCAAGGTCCTTTGTTGCAGTAGTTGTTGGCATAAAAAATAATCCCTTACTGCTCAATGAACTTGACTGCCGAGCATAGGTCCATATCTGCAGCTTTGCAGTCTTTTTCTACTTAAAAATGAAAATCTATATCAAGAAATATTACTTATCTCCTATGTCTTTTGTGCTATTTCGGTTTTAAGCGAGATATTACATGTTAAATGTCGACGAAATAACCCCTCCCCCTTCACACACAGATGCACTTCTACCATGATCAAAGCGTGACCGAAAACAGAAGGAGAAATGTAGTAAAGTATTCATCAGCGCAGTATGATCGCGGTAGGGTCTTTTTATAAACATGTTAAAATTATGGCTTGATTGGGATGATCGTCGTAAAATTGCAGCTCTGTATGAACAGGGGGGATGTGATCAGGTATGGAACCAATTAAAAATCAATACACGGAATGTCAATCTGTATAGTGACGGTATATTGAAGTATTGCAGGAGTTAATAATTAAAAATGCTAATCCATCCATTTTTATACAACTACTGTCATTTGATCACTTTTTTTGTTACATGTATGTAATTTCAAGCAGCATCTACAACAAATGGTCTCCTTTCAAGCATGTTCCTGTTTGCGTGCATTATGTTAAGCTCACCTCCTTGAAGTTGGGGAAGCTTATGTAATACCGTCGGTGTCGGCGTCGGCGTCCCTGGTTAAACTTTTTGGAGCAGTTATTTTTTCAGTATTTCTATGTCCTATATTGATGAGACATGCACGGAAGATGGTTCTTGTGTGTTTCATTTTACCAGTCAATGGTTCAAATGCTGCTATTTCAGCAAAGGAATGACCAGGGTAATATTTTTTTGGAGAAGTTTTAACATTTTTTGATGCAGTTTTTGGTGTAGGTTCATTTCCAAGTAACTTTAAGCCCTATGTTGACCAAACTTGAATGAATGATACATCTTAGGATGCACACTACCAGGCTTGCTTCAGATGCTGAATCGGACCTACATTTTCTGGATGTTTGAACAGGTTAATGTTTCTGGTGCTGATCTCATTTCCAAGAATTATATGGAGATAACGAGCAATATTCAATCTCAAAGTCCACAAAACAATACAAAATAAGAGCAGAGAAAACACGGACCTCCGAAACATCAGAGGTGGGATCAGGTGCCATGGAGAAGTGAGCATCCCTGCTGATCGGTCACGACTGCTGTGTGCTTATTGTCATGATCAGGAAATAAAGGAAAATAGAAAGTCAAGTATATAAATACATTTTGTATTGGACTAACAATTAGTATGAAAAACGTCAGTCAGCATTTGACTCACTGATAAAAGTAGCTTTGAGCCCTATAAAGACCAAATTATTATGGTTGATGCATCTAAGAAAGCATACAACCAGGCTTGCTTCGGATGCTGGATTTGAATTACATTTTCCGGATGAGTGAACAGGTTAAAAGTTTTGGTGCAGATTTCATTTCCAAGTTACTATGAGCCCTATATTGTCTAACCTTGCATTGATGATACATCTAAGAATGCATACAACTGGGTTTGCTACGGATGCTGAATCTGACTTGCATTCTCCGGTTGAGTGAACAGTTTAAATTATTGACCCAGGTTTCATTTCAATGTAACTCTGAGCCCTTTAATGACCAAACCTGCATGTATGATACACATAAGGATTCATACTACCAGGCTTGTTTCGGATGCTGAATCTGACCTACATTTTCTGGATGAGTGAAAAGGTTAGTTTTTATGCAGGTTTCATCTCAAAGTAACTATGAGTCCTATGCTGAGCAAACTTGCATGGATGACATATCTAAAGAAGCATACTAATAGACGTGCTTCAGATGCTAAATTCGACATACATTTTACAGATAATGCAGGTAAAATGTATAGTTGCAGGTCCATCACCAAGAAACTAGAACGCCTAGGTATATCGATCAAATTTGAACAAAGGACGCATCAAGGAATGAAAACTCTCAAACTTGCTTCAGATGCTGGATTTGAATTACATTTTCTTGATTAGGTCTGTTTCAAAGTTACTGCAAGCCCTATCAGATAAAACTGTATAATATTAAATTTTGGATGTACACGTTTTAGAATGTTGGTTAATAGCCTTAAAGATAACATTCGTTGAGGTGATCATTTAACGCTTTACATAAGTTAGTTCTGACTTTTGTTAGAAAACATTGAATGGCAAATACTGTCTTCTTCCACCTATAATGCGCTCCCTGTAGTCATAAGTGACAAGATTTTATGTTTGTTGGTTGACATTTTTTTGCATATTACTTTATTTGTATTTTAAGCCTTTGTAAAAATTCATGGTTGATTGAAATTTTACATTTTCTTCCTCATGTCTTAGTTTTGTTACGACAGGCCCAACCTGATGTAAGCATCATTTTGATGTTCAAACATCAGATTTCATATTAGGGAAATTTATATAGTCATGTATTACAATTGCATTAAAATATTTGATTGATGATCGTTATCATTTTTAGAATCTTAAAGAGACTGAAAGTTTCCCAACTGTATCGCAGTCCCCTCTGGAAAGGACTGACCAGAGAGGTAAAGCAACTGATTTTTTTCTTCATAATTTATACTCTAGAATAAAATTGTGTTAAAATTGAGTTCAACATTTAAAAATTGATTTAATATGACATTATATTTATATCTACTGAATATTGATTCCCTTATTTCTTCTAAAAATCATTGAAATTAATCTGTCCATAAACGACACTGAGCAAGTCGCACGCATATATTTCTTGAACAATAACTGTTCGATCAGTAATGCGCACAGCGACGCTAATGCGGGTTATGGATTTTTTCAACGTCTGCGACATGAATACCCGTACAAACAACCAATGTAAGCATTTGATTGTGTTAAAAAAACATTCACTATTTCTACAGTTTATTTAAAAAATTTAAGGGTTTGATAATAATTACATAGACATCTAATTTATTGTGTGACATTTTTGCACTAAAAAGTAACATATTTGGGGTATTAAAAAACTCAATAGGCAATAAAACATTTTCTTAAATCAAGCTTTTTACAACTTAAGTCCTGATCAGTCACAAGTATCGAGTACTTTAAAATAATAAAAGAAAAAGTTGGAGTCAGTGATGTAAATTTTGAAATATTTGTCAAAATATGTTATTTTCAGGCGAAAAATGATGTAAATTTTATCTTGACTTATGTGACATATCTTTTTTTTTCTTTGTTTGTTAAAGGAAGATGTAAAACTTGTTCTAAAAATATATAATAAGACCTATATTGAATATTCCTAGCAATATCACAACTGAAATATTCTCCGAGTAAGAGTATGTGAGGCTAAAGTTCAAGAATAATTTAATAAATGTGCTGATTTGCAGAATTATCTGCTAAATATCATTCGACCACAAAAAATATAGTCCCTCATACATCTTGTTTCTTTTAGCCTTATGAGTACATTTTTCGTTAAAATTCAAAACGATTACATTGTAGAATTAAAATATGTTAAAAAGAATTGAATTCTAATGTATAGTTCGCGCAAACTTTTCTAAAAAGCTGACAAGTAACATGCCGGAAAGGAAATATTCAATTTTGATTAGATTTATTTTAGTGCATTTAAACAGGTTGGAGAGAATACTCGAAATCTGGTATTATCCGTGAATTCGCGTATGATACCCAGTATTAGGGTATCGCTGTATCCGCAAAATCGGGTATTGGAGGTGCAATCAATAAAACTAAAACAATGGGGTGGTGCATGTTGCCGAGTTAACTTTCATCTAGATACAAATGTTTTCTAAAGGTATCACTAGGCAAGTTAAAATTTGGGCGTTCGATTTGCTTTATATTTTCATCATGTTGAAAGTATATGCATCTTCCTCATGTTCATTCCTTACACAACAGAATTGTAAATTATCAGAATACAGGAATTTATAATAATTTCACATCAACACGACAAACATGAACAATTTGTAAATTAAAAAAAATTATACGGAAACGCATTTCACATACAAGATATTTTCCATGTATGAACTAGGGACTGTATTTCATATCTTATGCGTCAATAATTTTTTTTCACATTCATCCTGTGCATAAAATCAAATTTATTTATGAATGAATAAATAATTTTATGATAAAAATGTTTAAAATTTCGGCTAAAACCTTCTTTCTCTCTTTTTTTAAAAAATCTTTTTTATTACTGTATACAGGATTATTTTCACCCCGTTTTATTTTCGCCCTTTCACATCTGGAAACAAGTTTGCCTCGTTTTAAATTCGCCCAAAAAGATTTTTGATTTAAGATATTATACTGTTTACATTGAATTCACCCGTTTTAAATTCGCCCACGCCAGACTAGGGCGAATGGGGCGAAAATTAAACGTGGCGAAAATTTCCCTGTATACAGTATTCATACATATTTTAAGAATATGTCTTCAACATTTAAGCATAGACAACGATAGTTTCAGGAATACAGCTTATGAGAGAACGTTACTGTTGATCGTTAAATTTCACTAAGTCATCAATATTTTACCATTTTTTGCCGACTTCAAGGGAGGGGGGGTGCTAAAGGCTTCTTGACCACTTCTGACAAAACAACCTCGACTGTGTTCTGCATATGTCCAAGAGACCCCTCCTTTGGCAATCATTGAATTAAATGATAATGCTATTAAGTTTTTTGCTATACGTCTTTGAATTTCTTTGAATTTCATCATTTTGTCACAGTTTTCTTTTAGTTATTTCATCGTGATACTTATTATTCAGGGCAATAACTATTCCTAATATTCATCTATAATGAAAAAATGTGTTAAAAAATTAACATGAATTTTAGTTATTTTTAAATACTTGTAGTATCATATTGTGTTAACAGGTTGCTTTTTGTTTACCTAATTAAATTGTATATAATTTTTATTTGATGAATAAATCTTCCCTACCATTAAAAATATATAATCAAACTGTGGCAAATTGTCTAGAACCAATCAGATATTGCATTGTATAGCATATTATAATGAGGTTTTTAGATAGCGATAAAAATGTGTAAAATACACAACAGAAAGTAAAATCTCCCATGTCTATCAAATAGTATAAGAAAGAAAGGAAGTGGTTACAAATTTTATGAAATTTTAATATCCGATGAGGAATTATGTCCCCCAAAAGTAAGACAAGAGTGCCCAAGGCGCAATTGAACACTCTATTATTTCAGTTTATTCATTAACATGTTCATAAACGTAAAAACTATAAGAAATGTGAAAACTTGACTATGTAATTCATATTAGAATATGACTACCTCGATCTATTTTGAGAAATTCAATGTTTATTAAGCTTATGAAATTCTTTGAAAGAATTTCTTTTCTGCTCCTAAGATTAAATAAACTAAGTACAAAGTTATGATGAGCAAGAACACCACTTCCCAAATTTTGATTTTATGGCCCCAGGATCAGGGTTTCTGGTGATAGGGTGGGGCCCTATAGATTATATAGTGAAAATACATTAAATCTTTAAAAGTTTTCTTCTCTGCTCTTGGGTATTAAGCAGATGAACTACCTTTATACTTATGATGAACAAGGGCCCTAATCTTCCAGAATTGTGTATTTCAAGACCCCAGGGTCAGGGGTACAATAGCGGGGGGTGTACTTATATACTAAAACTGGATGAATTGTTTGAGATCTGCACCTTGTTATTAATCAAATATTTTTGAAAAGCAAGGGTGCCTTTTAGAAAAATGTGCAATGTGAGAATCTAGGCCTAAGGGTCAGTGATTCATGTGCTATAGGGGCATTACTGATTATTGCTGAATATTACTGATTACTTGAAATGCATTTTTGGTCCCCCTACCCTGCTTATAAACAAACTAGGTAACTGCTAAGTGTATTGTTATGATGATCAATGGTGCTTCTTTCAAAATTGTGAACCCTATAGCATTTGGCTTAAAACATGAATCAAATTCAATGACTTGAAAGTTGTTGCATAATGCTCAGGTGACCTATAAGGCCCATGGGCCTCTTGTTCTGTTTACATTGATAAGTAAAAAATATCAATTTAAATTGGAAATGTAACATATTTAAAGATAGATTCTAGGACTAGAGTGACAAAGCAATATTGATTTTATTTTTAGCTTTTTATATACCGTAAATTTGGAATTTTTTACGTCGATTTTATTTTGCGAATTCGGGTCAAAATGCTGTTGATTAATTTTTACGTTTCAAAATTTTGCGAATGACCACTGCTTTGTTTACATTTTCTTATTGGTGATTTATTTTTAAGAAAAATATTTTTGCGAATTCAATGCACTCGCAAATTTGCTAAAAATTTATCTACAGCAAAAATTTCCAGATTTACGGTATTCTGTTCAAAAAGAACTAAATATGTGAATTTATATGAAAATGAATTTTCATCAGAACAACAGCGTGGTGAGCCTTTCCGAAAGGATCGAGATGATTCTTATCCATTGGTGCATACCCAGATCATAGGGAAATACGAAATAGGAAAACGGGTAGGCCGCATACAATTTACTAAAGGTGGTGATGTTTATGGTGTGGGAACAGGATTTAGAGTGGGCAGCAAGTACGTCATGACAGCCTACCATGTCATGGGGAATAAATTGGGTATGTACTAGGATATACATGTATATTATACAATTTTCTCTTAAAGACCGAGGTTTTCAACCGTACGGTTTTCCTCTGGTAAGTTTGATGTGGGGTGGAGCTTAATCGAAGCGACTGAGAAACCCCGAGGGAACGACGGTGGGTTGTGTATACTACCTATATACTCAGGATGTTACCTGAGTGTATTAACTGTCTGCGTTTTCCTATCACACTGTACAACGAAGCCAAAACTTTTTATTGTTCCTGACAGAATCAAGAGAATCCTTCTTAAATTCTATCTTTTAAATTTTGTTTTAATAGTTCGACAATTCCAATATACTAGCGGTGTGTTTGTTAATCATATAGTACCAAAATCTGTTGGTGTAATCATGCAGGCGACAAAAAGGGGAGTAATTCAAAATACACGTCGTGTAGACTACGCAAAAGTGAAAGAAGAAAGTGCATTGTTCATAAATAAGTCTCTTGGTAAATAACAAACTAATAGATACATTGTTTTGAGGATAATTTGTTACGAAATATAATAGTTTAAATAAATATTTAAGAAAAATCGTAGGTAATTTTTAACGCAGGGTATGTAAAAAATAATGACATGCGGGGCTTCGCACAGGGAATGATTCCCTGAGAGATTTAGGTGAGACAGGAATAGAATCACCTTCATCGAATTTTTTTTTAATTTTGGGATTAATAATTTCAATTATTATACCTCATTATAAATATTCTACATAACACGTTTTCTGATTGGTTCTAGGTTATCACGTGATCGGGCCGTAAATCTTCATATTTCCCGTCGTCGGCACGCTTCTCATCATATTCCACCTCTTCGGAACACTTAGTGAATTTTCCCGCAATATAGTTCTCGTTCGTTGAACGAAAACTCCCGAGAGTAGTAGACGTCACAATAGCATGGTTGACGTCACAAAACTGATGACAATGTGTTGAACAAAGGATTTTATAGTAACTACACGTTAACAATGAAAGTGAATTTGAGAGCGGTGTCAAATTTGAACGTTTATGTTTATTTCAAAGGCTTTGCTTGTTTCGGTATAATAAACAATTCATTGCATGAATGTTCGGGAAACATGAAGACTTATTCAGCCAAGAAATATCATATTCCCCTCGGGCGAAGCCCTCGGGGAATATGACTTTCTTGGCTGAATAAGTGTTCATATTTCCCTCACTATCATGCAATAAATGTTTAATATTAAATGCAAAGCAAGATGTTATTATCATACTAATTTCCTCTCTGAAACTGGTTAATATACCGTACCGTAACTTCGTCACCATGCATGTCGGACAAAAGCGACAAATAAAAGTACCTCTTTTGAATAAATATTAAATTTTTACTTGAACAATGTCACAATGTTGCATAACATGTTTGTTTTTTTTAAATAATATTATTTGTTTGATTGAATAACTTCCGTGATACTTCAAATGCGGGTCGCTTTATTTTCTTGAAATTAAATGTTGGAAGACGTATACTAACGTGTTTTGACATACAAGTTTTAAAATTGTAATCGTGAAATGAAACCCCCTTCTAGAATCAAAATTATAACGATATAGGCATGGTTTATTCTATTAATTATTTGACAGATTGATTATATCTATGACATATTCTTATGAATTAAAAGTGAACGCTTTGATTGCTTCTTTATCATGTTAGCATATGCAGTAGCCATCAAAAGCCCCAATGTTAATTCGATGGTCGGTAAGATCTCCAGACAATGTGCACAAGATATACACACCGGCTGAAGACACCATTCTGTCCGTTGTCTGTCTGTCCGTCTGTAAACTTTTCACATTTTCGACTTTTTCTCAAGAACCGCTGGGCCAATTTCAACCAAACTTGCCACAAAGTATCATTGGGTAAAGGGGATTCAGGTTTTGTCAAATGAAGGGCCACGCCCTCATTTAAGTGGAGATAATTGAGAATTTGTGAAAATTTGGTGGTATGTTTAAAAAATCTTATTCTCAAGAACCACTGTGCAAAGAAAGATGAAACTTATGGGGAAACATCCTCAGGTAGTGTAGATTTAAGTTTGTTTATATCATGCCCCCCGGGGGTAGGGCGGGGCCACAATGGCCGACCAAAGTTTTATATAGAAATATATAAGAAAATTCTTCAAAAATCTTCTTCTCAAGAACAGCAAAGCCATTATTGCTCATATTTATATGAAAGCATCCCCAGGTAGTGTTGATTCAAGTTTGTTCAAATCATGAGCCTCAGGGGTAGGGCGGGGCCATAATGGCCGATCAAAGTTTTATATAGAAATATATAGGAAAATTCTTTAAAAATCTTCTTCTCCTTAAGAACAGCAAAGCCATAATTGCTTATATTTATATGGATGCATCCTCAGGTGGTGTAGATTCAAGTTTGTTCAAATCATGACCCCCGGGGGTAGGGCGGGACCACAATGGCTGATCAAATTTTTATATAGAAATATATAGGAAAATTCTTTAAAAATCTTCTTCTCAAGAACAACAAAGCCATAATTGCTCATATTTATATGGAAGCATTCCCAGGTAGTGTAGATTCAAGTATGTTTAAATCATGACCCGCCTTTGGTAGGGCGGGGCCACAATGGCCGACCAAAGTTTTATTTAGTAATATGGGAAAATTCTTTAAAAATCTTCTTTGCAAGCATAACAAAGTCATAATTGCTCATATTTATATGGATGCATCCTTAGGTGGTATAGATTCAAGTTTGTTCAAATCATGACTCCCGGGGGTAGGGCGGGGCCACAATGGCTGATCAAAGTTTTATATAGAAATATATAGGACAAGTTTGTTCAAATCATGGGGCAAAACTTAGGTTTAATCTTTTCAATAGTTAACCAATTTCTACTTTTTCCTTGCCACAATGCTCAGGTGAGCGATGTGGCCCATGGGCATCTTGTTTCACGGATTGTCCTCATCTAACACACAATCTCTGCAGTTACTCAAAAACTGCCTGACAGGTATTATTGGTCCCCACTTGCACAATTAGCATTTAACATTTTTTTCATTCATCAGACATCTTAATGCTATATATGGCGTATGTACAATGAAAATTATGATACTAAAATCATAAGAACTTATTATTTGTATCATTACTTTATATAAAGATAGAGATTTTCCGTAAATTAAAAAATCTAAGTCAATTACGTTATAAAGATATCAAAATTTAATTTGGTTTCTTGGAATTTTCTCCGATACGGAAGAAAATACAAAAGATTTAAATAACACATTACAGAGAAGATAAAATCGTATTTTTAGGTCACCTGAGTAAACTCAGGTGACCTATTACTATCTGTTTTTGTCCGTCGTCGTCCGTCGTCTGTCGAACATTTAAACATTTTCAGCTTCTTCTCTGAAACAGCTGAACCAATTTCAACCAATTTTGGCATATAGCGTCTATGCATGAAGGGGAACAAGAATTGTGAATTTCGTGGTCCCTGCCCCCCTGGGGCCTGGGGGTGGGGCAAAAACCACTAAAATTAGTGCAATCTTTAAAAATTTTCTTCTTTGCTCCTGGACGTCAAACAGTCAAACTGTTGGTATGATTGTAATCAGCATTAAGTCTTCTACCAAAATTGTGAAATTCATGGCCCCAGGGTCAGGGGTTCTGGTGTTAGGGCGGGGCTCTATTGATTATATAGTGAAAATGCATTTAATCTTTGAAAATCTTCTTCTCTGTTCCTTAGTATTAGATAAACTAACTAAGTACATAGTTATGATGAGCAAGAGTGTCTCTACATAAATTGTGAAATTCATTGCCCCAGGGTCAGGGGTCCTGGTGTTAGGGCGTGACTCTATTGATTATATAGTGAAAATACATTAAATCTTTGAAAATCTTCTTATTAAATTAAATATTTAATTAAATTAAATAAACTTATTAAGTTCATGGTTATGATGAGCAAGAGTGCCTCTACTGAAATTGTGAATTTAATGGCCCCAGGGTAAGGGGTTCTGGTGTTAGGGGGTGACTCTATTGATTATATAGTGAAAATACATTAAATCTTCGAAAATCTTCTTTTCTGCTCCTAGGTATTGAATAAACTTGTTAAGTTCATAATTATGATGAGCAAGATTGCCTCTACCAAAATTGTGCATTTTATGGCCCCAGAGTCAGGGGTTACGGTGTTAGGGCGGGGCTCTATAATGATTATATAATGAAAATACATTACATCTATTACATCCATGAAAATCTATTTTCTCTAATTCTGGGTAATAAGCAGATGAACTATTTATTTAGTTAGGATGGGTTCCTCTTCCAGAATTGCGAATTTCAAGGCCCCTGGGTCAGGGATACCAAAATAGGGGGGGGGGGGCTCTACTTATATACTGAAAATGAATTGTTTGAAATCTACTCCTTGGTATTAATCAAGTAATTTTGATAAGCAACTGTGCCTTTTCAAAAATTGTGCAATGTGTAGACCTAGGGTCAGGAGTTCATGTGTGGTAGGAGCACTCCTGATTATTGCTGATTATTGCTGAATATTACTGATTAGTTGACATACATTTTTTGTTCCCCTACCCTGCCTATGGGTATTAAGTAAACAAACTAAGCAACTGCTAAGTGTATTGTTATGATGATCAATGGTGCCTCTTTCAAAATTGTGAATGCCATATCATCTAGCTTAAAACATAAACCAAATTCAATCATTTGAAAGTTGTTGCATGATGCTCAGGTGACCTATAAGGCCCATGGGCCTCTTGTTAGATAAAACGAGGTGTTCTCCGTGTTTTTAGAATTGTATGAAAAATTTTAATTTAAATGTATTTTATATATTTCTTCACTTAATTTTGTATTTTTCAAAAAAAAGTAATTTTTGGATCAGTTATGCCATATATGGCTTTAAGAGACAAATCGGGATTTTTCCTAAGCAGAACGCAAATTTGTATCGTTATCTGCTGCTCTGTGAGGTTATAAAACTACTTATTAACAAGTTGATTTCTTTTCAGCGAAGCAAAATATTAAAAGTGTCTGAATAAAAAAAGAAATGACAAGTATAATACATTT